TGTAGTTACCTGCCATATCTTTAATGCCAAGAACATGTGTTCCTGCTTTAACCAGCTGATCTGTTAGATCCAAATAGTATTTGAGAGTGTATTTTTGTTCGTTTGGATCGGCCACATCTCCGGTATAACAAAATGAACCTTCCACAATACCACCGGCCTTTCCTGCAGCATCCATACCAACTATGAGGTTAGGCATGTAGTTCAAACTGTCAAACACCCGGAACACGTCCACACCAGCTTGGAATGCCAATTCGCAAAATCTGATTAGATTGAACAATTGAACATGGATGTGGTAAGATTAGAAAGTGACACATAAAAGCAAACAAAAAAGTAGAATCATTAAATGTCTTTTTCACATATTCTTATTTATATGAAATTTTATGATCAAATTTATGGAACGGGTAAGTAGACCATAAAAGTAATACCGGTTTCCCACCATTGATATTCTTTTCGAGGTTACGGGTCAGAGATTTCAATGTGTATCTACACATTGCATCGTTGCATTTTTGTCAATGACACCTCAGGTTATTTGCTTTTTGAGGTTATCTTTAATCTCAGGGCTTTGGGACCTACTTGTTGCATTCCATGCTTTCAAATGAATTATCTACTATCGGAGAAAAGTGTTGCGATGTTTGGGATACTTTGTGCAGTATTCAGTTTCTGGTAGACGTGAGCTTCCCGAGTTATTCGGTCTCACCTCTGGACAGTTAAGGCATACTCATCAATGAAAGTTGTTATACATCCTCCATTGAGGCAAGCGACGAAATCAGGTCACCGAGAACTCACAAGCTTGGGGCATAGCGACTATTTGTGCTATAAATAACACTGTGGCGTGAATCACACAACAGAGGCAAGGTATTTCACAGAGATAATGAAACAACGAAAACCTTTTACTCTAAACAACCCAATGAAGTTTCGACCATCAGTAACCAGTTTGTCAGAGCAGTCAGACAATTTTTATGAAGCCTGTTTACACACTCTAAAAACAGGATGCGTGACCAAAGTCGGGTTCCATGATAACAGTTTGAAATTTTGCTCAGCCGCCATTCTGCATGAGTGCCTCAGTACGTCTTCTGGGTATATTTCTTGAAAGAACTATGCTTATGGACTAATTTCAGCCACATATAGCCTAATGGCAGTTAATGATGCCGGATCGGTAAGCTAGGGACTTGTTTTTTATCTCGCAATCAAGCATGTCCCAAAGTTTATACATCAAGTAGAGATCTGGGTTACGTGGGATGCATTGCCCCATGAAACAACACCAAACATTTTGTGTTGTACGTAAACTGGGCAACAGCATTATTATGTTTCCATACGATATTCACTTGTTATTCGTTGAGCATTAGCAAAAGCAAAACTGTTCCGATTTATTAATATACGGAACACAAGATCTCGTATCCTCTACTCAGTTTATTCCTTGACTGAGAAGCCTCTCACGAAAAACCCTCACTGACTTTCTGCAATCAGACTGAAAATTCTTCCTTCTTTCCTAATAACGCTCTAGTAACACTACAAGGCATCCCGCTCTTCGAAATTCGTCGCTTTCCTCACTCTAATAAATACATTATCCGCTTTTTGTTCACTCTCGGTGCTTTACCTACAACATGGGTTGGTGTGTGTGCAGTGGCTTGAGACCCATGCACATCGTTTTTGTATTCCATCTTTGATAAAACATTAAGCGTTCTTTGTTACCTTATTTTCGAAATAATGTCTCAGCTACGAGATTTATACTTTAAAAAACGGTAGATGTTACTCGGGAGTGATCTGTTCTTCCGACCTCCAGTTTTACAGGATGATCCACTCGTTCTCTATCCGTATATGGCTTGTTTCAGCAAACGACATTGAACCCTTGTATTGCTAGGCGATTTCATGCAGACCAAGTGACATTCAAATGAACTCGGAGAGTTCAGTTTTCTCAAAATTCTTTTGATGCCTTCCGTGTGATAATCCATGATCAAACTTCAGGATGATTTCTATGAGTTGTGTTAATGGAACCAAAGTTGACCTTGGCAGACTTGACAACTCAGAGTGCTTCATGTGTTACAATGCACATGAATCACCCACTTTCGGTTCACAACCGAAAAAAAAACAAAATAAAATCAAAATTTACCCAATTCACAGTCATCTTATACAAAATGTTCTCTTTTAAACGGTACTAGTGTAGAGATCCCATCATTCGTTGTCATTTCGACTACAAATTGCTGATAGAAAGGCGGTAGTATGCGGACAACTGACGGTTACTCGTAGTTTGCTTGCCTACTGTTCATTTATTTTTCTGATCCAGACAGTGAAGTACTTCGCGAAACACAAAGGTACATCGTGCCCACAAACAGTATATCCCGTCTTTTGTCTAAACACCTAACCGTCATCGTCCAGTTCTCATTTTGAACATTTATGAGAGTCAGATCGNACAGTGTGACCATTTGACTGATTTGGCAAACGGCAAACGGCTGTCATCCAAAATCGGATGACCTCCGTGTGCTACTTTTACACGGGTCATGATGGATAATGGAACACTGCAAATTAGTTGAACTCACGGACAACTAACTCCCCGGAAAGTGTTGTGTGCAACCCTTACCACTATATAGTTTACCATTCGTTTCGTATGCTTCAGTACAAGAATATCAAATGATATGGACAGATGTGTCATGTTTAAAGAAAATAACCTCTTATTACCATTATTTTCCGGGGTTCTTCAAATAAAATATTCACCTCGCCAAAAGTAATTGTTGCCCAGCCGTTAACAAAAAAACATGTGCACGAGTAGATTCTAACCCAGCTCCACAGTGTTTGCTCGAGTAATGCAATCAAATTCTACCTTTGTCGGCCAAGATTTCTCACAATTGGTCACATCTCGTTTCCATTCCCAACTGACAAAAAAATCAACTTAGGTAAATTTCACTTCCTTATTCATCGATTGAAATTTACAACTAGCCAGTTGGAATGCTTCAGGTCAATGTACAATACACCACCGTCTTACTCAGAAATCTGATTCCGTCTCCTGTAAGAAATAACTAATGCAGATTTTGGCACATATGATTTCCTACGTGGTCGATAAGAAATTGTTTTGAAATAAAGATTTTTACGATAGATTTTTTGTTTACGGAAGTCTCACTCATCGGTATTAGGAAAAATAATGAATAAGAGAAACCAGAACACAGATAGAAAGTGTTGAAGCTTTGGATTCCGTTTACCGTTTACGCATAACACTTTCTACTAATCCAACTAGTTCAGAATGTTACGTTTACATTCCTACCTAGGAAGAAATATTTTCAAGTATAATGAAGTAATGTAATCAATACACTGCAGCTTCTCAAATAACAATTTGAACTATTTCTCTCTTGTGACTTCCAAATGAAGCCAACAGTTTCTTCGTATTGCACGTAGCAGAACTTGTTATTGTAACATTTCTCCATCGATAATTTAAATTGAAACTTTTATCTAAAACATTCAATGCAACTCCCGGGGTACACTCTTCCAGACTCAAGAATTCTTCTAGGTTTTGATGGTAATCAGTCATGTGATTTCCCTGTCTGTTGAGATATATTCCCATGTAGTGTATGACCTGTAAGTAATGTCAGGATCTTGACCTCAAATCCGAAACTGGAAACAATTTGAATTTGTATCCTGTTACCGTCACACGTCCATCACTAACTCATTCTTAAAAACCTAATGTATAACTCTGACAATTTTATTAGATTTATGAGACAATTCAATGGAGAAAAATTCACCCTCTGCGTTCAGGTCGCATACATAGTATTAAAAACACAGTGATAAACAGTTGTGAGACTGAATGACCAGTGTAAATCATGAGACTCCTTGTGGACAAAAATCACCAAAAAACATTCAATTTTAGAATTTGCACACATGCCGAATGTCGACGTACTTGTACACCACATTGTCTGGATAATTTTTGTAACCGACGGCACTGGCACCACGAAGCAACATTTGGAAAGGAATGTTTGGAATGAGACGCCTCAATTCCTCCAGACGTTCCCACGGGCATTCATGGAGAAACCGCATGGCAACGTCGAAAGTGGCACCTGTTTTTGTACAATGACAAAAAAAAGAAATAAACAAGAGTTTGATGTGAGAGAAATTTTCAAGGAACAGATCTGTAAACACTGTGTGCGACCTGATACCGAAAATCAAAACTGACTCACCTCCCCAGTTCTCCAGTGAGAAAAATTGCGGCATTTCATGAGCAACAAATGGAGCAATGCGTGCCAAATCGTACGTTCGTACCCTAGTGGCCAAAAGGGATTGGTGAGCATCACGCATAGTCGTGTCCATGATAAGCAGCTGTGGATGCGCCCGAACAGCTTTGGCGAATCCTGTTGCACCGGATTCTTTGAACACATCGCGCCATCCTCGAGGAAGACTGGCGTCTATTAAAGAATGGAAGGGGAAAAATCACACTTTCGAACATCAATATGTAAATAAAAGTTTGCGCTAAAATTACTTGATTGCCGCCCGGAGGAAAAAGAACCAAAATTTTCATTCATATTAGCACTAATCGAAACTTTGTGCTGAAGTGAATCAGGCATCGATTATCCGCGTGAAAACTAACATATCTAATCAATGATAGGACAAAACAAAGAAAACGGCATTCTGATGTACTCCTATTAAAATTAAGCATAAATAAAGAAACAATAAGTGAAATGACTATGTCTTAAACAATAGTCGCAGTAGCTGTGATGAAATCTAAGACAGGGAAATAGAAATATTGTTGTAAACAAGGATTTCCGGAAAGTCGCTGTTGAGCATCGGTAACACAAGAACTTCGACGGGCATCATTTTGACCGGGAACGTA